GTGCTCCTTGATAGAAGCTATAGTGACGACGTCCTGTCGTAGCCATCATGAGCTTTATCATCAGTTAAAAGTCACAGTACATGTAAAGTAGATTCTAACATCTAGCAAGCATGATATCCTCCGTTATGATGTGCTCATCTTCCATGCCATACTATATATAGCTATAACATTAGAGCAGAAGAAAGTTTTAATTGTCCTCGTAACAATATGCAGTATCAGCAGTTTATCCATTCATCGGAATAGACGTTAACGCTAGCCATGTGCATATTTTAACCTTATTATACAATTTATGCCCTCAGAAATTGGCTGATACAAGGTGTAATTAATATATTAAACATATTCTTTTTTATCCAAGATTCATAAACATAAAGAATATATCATACCTTTAATATGTGACGTTTTTATGAATTAAGCTGGAACAGTAGTCTAGGGAAGTTATAGCGGCATATAAGTCTCTTACTTATTTTCTTCAAGTGTTAGGAAATTATTATTCCCCTCTTGCATCTTTACGCTACCTTTGTTTCTGTCATTTTAGGCTTTAAAAGACTCCTAATGGGTAGGTTCATCACCGCCTCTTTCTTTCTTTACAGTTCATTGCAAAACAGGACTTAATATTACACGGACTTCGCATAATATTATTGCTATAGTCACAATTTGGATTCTTTCCAATGATTTTTTTATTCCGTTCTTTATTTTCTCTAATGTTTCCAATACCAAAATTCCAAACACGAATATGAAGCATTATAAGTCCTGTTTATCAAGAATACACGAGGATAGGCTGATATATTAGCTATAAAACAATTACTATTACATAATGACGTCATTATGAATATTATACTTAGTCCCGTATGAATGTTTATATTGTTCTATCTCTTATATTGTGCCAGAATCAATTTATGAAGACAAATATGAAACAACTCTGACCCCAAGAAGAAAAATTTATATTATACAGTAATCAATACATTATTTCCTCTTACTAGGCTTCAATGGCCAGCACCATAAATGTACTTCATTATTTAATAGAATCATGAGGCTGTTAAATAAAAAAGAACATTTTCGCAATGTCCTATCTTCATATTCATTAATTCTCCAATGCTGAATGTATAACAGCCCTAAACAAAAGTAAGAGAAGTCATGTAATTAGATTAGTAATTTAAGAAATGTGGCATTAATCTGTAATGGGAGGGGAAACATTCACGGAGGAGATTCCTACACGGGGTCTTAGAAATTATTACGAAATGTATAAGAATATATCTTAATCCTTATGTATATTTGTCGCCTACTGAAAGACTGAGCCGTATAAGCATTCTTATCTATGAGATATTTACATGTCTCTGATAGTGAATTAAACATGGGGTTTTTCATTATGCATATATTAAGAAAATGATTATAATCGTCCTTAGTCCAAAAAGTGCTTATCTTATTTATGGATATTTCGAAGGAAGATCTTATTATTGGATATTCCTTATATAGAAATGTGTAAGAGGTAATTACCTGAGTTAAGTGCAAGAATAATAATCATGAAATTTCTAATTTCAATTGAAGACACATCTATAAAGATGTTCATATGTTAAGAATTATTGGAATAGTAAGAAGAAGACAGGAATCAGCAAGAGGAAACACTATTGATGTTTTACTAAATATGTCCATTTTTAGCGAGATGCATGGAGAGAATCCGTGCATAACAATTAAGACTAAATATTCCTATAGTTAGATAGTTTCAGCTGTTACTGTGGTCCCATGAGCTTCGATTAGATGCTATCTAGTGTGCATCCACTTTTTCCTGATTCATCAAATATATTATAGATTTGTGATAATTGTATTTACTCTAGAAATGCTCATTACGGATAAATACCTTTCTTCCAAGAGATAATCATTATGGTCTATGTCTATGCATTATCCCACAGTATATTTTCTTGTTAGTATTATCAGGGAAGAGTTCCGTATCGAAAGAGGAATTTATGCTCAGCAATAATGTGCAATATTGAATACTACCATAAAGGGAGCTCTAATGAATCATTCCACTGCTTATCTATATTATGAATTAATGTATATGACACTAAGACATACAGTTCATGTCCTCCAGGAATACAATAACTTCTTGTAATCATGTTATTTTCAGAGAGTTGTAATATATATTCCAAATGGGGCTGGGACGGGGAGGAACAATTCATACTGTTCCCCTACAGACTGTTCTGTTAGTATGCAATAACAACTCATACTATTAATGATAATATTGTGAAGTAATAAAAGGATAAATAATATAGAAATACTCATCATTATTTAGCGATCTTGACTATTCTTAAGTTTCCCGTGTATTTCTACAATACTCCAGTATACTCCTGAAGTGATACCAAGAATATAATTCCAATTTACAAGGAAAGAGATTAGCAACTGTGCAAAGTTTGCACAAATAAAATACGCATTCAAGCAAAATTGGTCCCGTACTGACTCACTGCGGCCTAATACTTTCATAAATATCCAGAGAAGGTAATGTTCTATGGTATATCATAGTCGTATCTCATTTTTACATTAAGAGTAGACGTCTGTAATATAAAGCTGTAAAATCTCCCCCCTCAATTGCCTCCTTAAACCTTTGTCGTTATTAGGTGAAGAAATGATCTCCTCTATACGATATATAATATACAATTTATCTAACAGCGCAGTAAATAGTCGTTTTAATAAAGCTATAAGAATAACAAGACTCTCAGCTTTAGTACATAGTAGCACATTTCCTATGTTATTAGCTATCCAATATTAACGAAGCATTTAATATTATTATACGAATGGATATATCAAACAAGTGGGAGCACAATCGGACGGGTCATCATATCTGAGTAATATTAAACAACAACAAAGCCATCAAATAATATACCTTAATGCATCATCTTATGATCCGTGAGCATATGAGAACACAGACGTACCAGCAATGACCTAAAATCTGAAAATATCTGCTGGGGCATTATAAATTTCGTATCAATGAAATAAAAGGAATTACAAAGTATCTCAAGAGATAGAATTGGTACCGTGAATATAATAACAGGTTATGGGCCTCTTAACATTCAAACAAGACAAGATATAAGTAAATGAGTAGGAATTTACCAATTATGAAAATAAATCTGTAAATCTAGATTCCATACAGCAGGGTATTTACAGAAGAAACAACAAGGGTACAAGGGAAATGTATACTGACATAAACAGCAAATATTAACTGTTTCCAATGGGAGAATCTACATATTACAAAGCAATATGCCAAGGATACATAGTGTGTTTAAGTACCCCTCCAAACTCTGCTTAATACTAACATCGCTGAACCGAGAATAAAAGACAAGACGTAGAGACACAGGGGAAATAATAAGGAGCCCTCTACATAACATCCGGAGGGAATGCTACCTAACTGTATAATTCTTTGACCCATCAGGGACGTAATCGATATTAGAAACCAGAAGGTAATCGCCTGTCACAAACCCCGTGGATTAAATTATGAAGAGCGACTGATGACAATGCAGATTAACTTAGGAGGAAGAAATCAGAGACATCTGAGCAAGGGTGAAGGAGGGAGCGAACAGCATGAGGAACACATAAGGACCGAGACTAAGATATAAGATCAGTACGAATCTAATACGGCGTAGTAGCCAATAAACGGAACCAAGCCGTAACAAACCAACCGGAAGGAGCCAAAGCACACTCCCAACTAGATCACCACGAAGTGTAGAACAGCCGTAGAGTAGGAAGGGTATAGAGAAGTGGATAAATATGCTAAGAAGCCCCAGATTAGATCCAACTGACTCCAGGAACATCCCAGCCGGACCATGAGGACACGGGACCAGCAGGAGATGAACAAACCCGCGGACTCCAACAGTATAAGGGACGGGTGAAGTATAGACAGCGAGGAAATAGGGAACCAAACTCCAGAAGAGTTATGAACGGAATCCAAATCGATTGAAGCAGATCACTGGCAAGAACCAGAGGACTTCTCCAACACAAAAATAGGGGAACTGAAGTGACTCAAGATATTCAGAGAATTTCGAGCCCCTTAATACCAACTCAGAAGCTAGGCAAAACTCCAAAGCCGGGGGCTGCCTCGGTTACTAGAAGAGTTCTTAAACGAAGAATAGGAGAGAGCCAAGAAGCCAAGAACTGAGGAAAGAACGAAGTGGAGCCACAAATACGGGAAACCATACGAAATGCGGGGACTGGAGTCCGAACAACAAGAAAGCGACACCAGAGCAGATAAGCAGGGAGGAGGTAAAGGATGAATTAAGTTTCATCACACGAAGGTCCGATACCCCCAAAAGGGCGGATCAACTGAGTATTCCCTGCGCAGGAACAGGGGCCTTACGAAATATGACCCCAGCGCAATAGAGGGGCCAAATAAATCGACTCAATGAAGAGGGCAGAACCAATTAAAGAATAATGATCCAAAGGGGAGATAAAAGAGGGACCATTGACCGGAGACGGATAAAGCCCATGGAAGCAGGGATGATAACCGAGAAAAAGTAAGAAGGAAGCCAATATAAATCAGGAGAAAGTAATCAGGGATAAGGGCCCAGGGGGGCAAATAGGCCACCTCAAAGCTTAAGAATCAAAAGACAAAGAACCGGGAGTTCCAGGTCAGAAAAAGCTGGAAAAGGGACGAAGACCCAACCGAGGAGGAACGGAAAATTGCGTATTAGACAGAAGAGAAAAGACCGAGCAATAATAACAAGAGAGTGCTAGAAAACATTGGGGAACAACAGAGATGCGGAGGATAAGGCCCTTCCTGCGATAGAAGACAGATGAAGCCCCACAGGCAAAAGGAAGGGAAAAGTTGTCTAGAGTCAGAAGAATAAAAGGAGCGAAGAACCAGGATCCTCAGGTGGAAATCGAGAACGGGTCTCGGAAGGGGGCAAAATGAGACAAATACTCCTAGGAGAGAGGACAGGATAAGGAAACCGAGAAACCGGAGCCCAATCGGAGCCAAGCATAACAACCGGATGGATCCCCCGCCGGGAAACCAGATGAAAAGACTAAGGAAGAAGAGGGGGAAGAAAATTCAAAGACAGAAGGAGCAGGCAAACCGGTCCACCCAAAGGAATCCGACCAATACCTCAAGATTAAGGGTAAGTAGTGAGCGCCCATAAGGAGCAGAAAAACCCACTTCCTACATGAGGCACTGCTAAAGGAAAAATCAAAAACTGAATAGAGCAAGAATGAGATAAGAGAAAAGGGAGCAGAAGAAAACCTATGAACAAATTCATATTATGGGAAAGAGTAGATATTAGAAATCACCTGGCTCATTATGAATAACTGCTCTTCCCCAATAGACAATGAAGACTCCCAAGGAGAGACGAATACCAGGAGCCAGGACAAAGATACGTCATTCCAAATGCACCCCAGTCAAGAAGGGGGAGTAAAATTGACAAGAGAGACACAAGAAAGTGCCGCTTGAAAAAGAAGGGCAGAAGCGAAAGAGTGGAGCCCATGGTGCCAAAATTCGTGGGAGGTGGCTGCGAGGGGGCGATAAGATAAAAAAAGCAGGCCCCTCCAGCTAAAAACACGCCGAACGGGGGGCGTGCGAAGACCTTAAACAGGAACAGGGGCTTAGAACCATGAGAAGGGCAAGGCAGGACCAGGATCCACGCCAAGTGGTTAACAGGGCAAAGAACAAGAGGAACCTGGGGAGCTGAAAAAATAGTAGTAAGATGCAGATCTAAGAAGATTTCGGGGAAGTTGACCGGGACCACCCCAGCCAGATCTCACGGGACAGAGGAGGAGACGGAAGATACCAGAAACTCTGGAAGCTACAAGAGGGACAGGTCGGAAAGGAATCTTGCCGCACCGGAGCCACCATCTTATAAGATGTCAAACGGAAGACAAAGCGCATCATCAGGCCCGAATGGTACAAAAACAGGGAGGAACCGGCCAAGTCACAGAGGTGTGCCTCCAGAAACAAGAGAAGCAATAAATTGACGAAGTTAGAGGAGCCTAACAATGACGAGGCCGACGGAAAAAACAAGGACAACCCCCGACTAAGTCTCACGAAAACAGAGACAAGACAAGATGAATGAGGACAGAACTGATACACAGAGAATGGGAAAAAGAGTCTCAAGGCGCATAACCATGGAAGGAACCATCCAACAGGCTGCCAGAACAGGCCAGGGTAGTCTTTCAGGACCAGACAGGGGTGAAGGGCAAAATAGAAGAAAGGAGGAGAACAAGAACGTGAGAACAAACGAAAATCTGGAGAAAACTCGGAGAGATGAAACGTCTCCTCATAGACTCTCCTTCCCAACCCGCCAGTCGACAGAGGAAGCGTAGAGAAATCTGCCGAACCCCGTTACATGAGAAGGGAGTATGAACAGACCGAATCCCAGAATCCCGCTGCGGGGAAGAACAAGGGACACGCGAAGAAGGATTCGTATCTTTAGATCAGACCATGCGCGCCAGTTGGACAACCTCAAGGAAGCGAAAAAGGAAAACTGAGAATCAAATCGCCCTCCTAGGAGTTAGAAGTAACAACTCCTGACCAACGTCCGTAAAGTAGGACAACGAGGGGATGAAACGAACCGGAACAAATATTTGAGACCACAAGGAACAGCACGGGAGGAGCGGTCCCCCCCCTCGAGGACAGGAATGACGAATGAAAGGATTAAGAGGCTAAGGAGACAACCAAGAGTCCTAAAAGAAGCTATAGAGAACGAAGCCTGTTAGAACAGGGACCCCAGGAATAGCCGGAGATTGAAATGACAAGCAAATGAACAGAAGCCCCAAAATGAGGGGAGGATAATTTGACAAAGGTTAAAAGGAGAATAGAAACCCCAGAGAAAGGAACAATCCCATGAATCACGTCAGAAGGGAAGAATTAGCTAGTAATTATGAGAGGGGATCTAGAGAAGAAGGCCGCCAATGGTGCAGATCTACAAATCAAGAACAAAACGGAAGCGAAGCTGTTTCAATACGCAATAAGGACAGAAGGTGACACTCAAAGACCAGCACAAAAAGAAAAGGATCAATTCGGGATCAATCGTTCAAAGTCCAGACAAACGGGAACACAGAGACACATAGAAAGTTCGGAGGTAATTGCCAATCTAATATCTAATAGCCTCAAAACTCCGAACCGGATCAGAGGAGTTCTGATTTGAGCCTGACGAGAAAGGGACGACGGTACAGACGGACCACAACAAGGGACTCTTATCATCCGATACGGGACACAGAATCCAAGCGGCGACAGCCACCCATCCAAGACTAGTTATAGAGGAGAAATCGTTCTCTGGGACACGCCAGACTCACTAGCGTCCCGTTTGAAGAAAGGACCGGAGGGAACAGCAGACATTATTTCTCCCCCCTAAACAATCCGAATCCAATGAAAATTTCGAGTTTCCGAGGTACGAGAAAGAATCGAAGGAGACAGAGGAAAAGGACAAATTGGCCCAAAACGCGGACACCAGATGCCCGCGTGAGGAAGAGAACAGGAATATCTCGAGCAGTATCAGAACAAATTAAGGATAAAGGAAGAATGACTTCTTCCATGAAGTTAGGGAGAGAAAGGAGTTAAAGAGTCCTACGCCAAATCCCCGCCTCAGGAGCCCGCCCCGAACCAGCTAGGCTCAGAAGAGGGAGAGGAGTGGAGGGTTTGAACTGGGTTCTGTCAGGAGAAGGAGTGAGAGTATAAAGAAGGGATCCCAGGAAGTAGGGAGTATAAACCAAGGGGAAAAGAGGGAGAAGGGGCTCCCCGAGTGAGGGGAGGGGGGTTCAGGAGAAGGGGCAGCTCATGGACCCCGAAAGAAAGAAAGGGAACAAGACGGGAGCGTGATAATTCAGAACACGTAGGGGGAGTCTGAACCGGCGAAATTTTGGGAGGAGCAGACAGACGAGGAAGGGAGACGGAGTGTGACCAGTAGGAACATCCAACCACATTCGCAGACATTGGGGATCAGAGGGGATTCTGAGTAAAACAGCCCAGGCAGGGAGAGGCCGAAGGACAGGAGAGATAATGAGGATAGGAGGAGGGACGCCCTGGACCAGGTAGGAGTTCACACGAAGCAGAACTGACACTTGCTGAAGTAGTGGACGCGCAAAGGGGCGGAGGGAGGTATGGAGGAACTAAAGATAAGAAGAGGGAGCAGACAGAAAAGGTGACAGCCTCCCAAGAGATGACTCCTAGGAATCCCCCCCCAGGAAAAGTTAGGTCAGGAGAGTCAGGAAAGGAAGATATCTGCATAAGCAAAGGGAAACACCTACCAGAAAGACAGACGGAAGACACAAGAGCTAATCTTTTGCCAAACCCCACCCGACGAGGATGACATCTTCCAATAACCAAGCGGACAACAGCAGGAGGAGTCACTCCCAAGCAGAGTCATAACCTAACAACAATTAGTCAGTCTTAGCCCAACGGAGCACCGAATAATTCAATGGCGAGTTGGTTCTTAGACCCATGGGAGATTAAGAACGAGGGAAATTGGTATAGGCGCAACGCCGGGGACTGTACGAAGGGAAGCCCCGACAGGAAGTATTGCTATAAGCCGTGGTTAGGGAAGGTACGAATTCAGAACCCGAACCTAAAATCCTGGTTAGACGAGGTGAGTGAGCAGTCCCAACAAGTATGGAAGACGAGGCTGTTGGAGAAGCAAGTCGGGACAACGCGCAAATGGAGAGATAACACCGGACTGCCGATGAAGTGGCCAGACTTGATAGATTGTGTGATAAGGAATGCAATAGAAAGGGCACCAACAGACGCCAGTGAAGAGGACAACAAGGCTGATGCATGTTGGTCAAAGGGATATTGGAGGACTCTCGTTGAAATAGACGGGGGCAAGACCACGTTGGACGATAATAACAGAGGCCAACAGTTAATGGGTATAATAGGGTGTATAATAATGGGACTGAATATCCAGGAGAAGGGTGGTAGGGACGAGGAGGTAAGGAAGTATCTGGAGGAATGTGGAGAGGTCAACAGTATCTTGAGCTTCGGGCGAGACGTGACAGAATATATAAGAACAGAAGACATCGAAAGTCTCAAGAAGCTGAGTCAAAATTGTAAAAAGAAGGGGGAGAAGTTTAAATGTGAGGCGTCGTCGTGGTCTTTTCTCTTGAGTATCCTCATAGGTCTAGATAGATGTATAGTTAACAGAGGGAGATATGAGTTAAGCCCCTGGATGGAAGGGACGGCACTGAGTAGCAGTCAAAGCCGATATTTTACCATCCCGCAGAATAACACAAAAATCAGGGTGGGTGACTCAAACTTAGACGAAAAGGCAATAAATATAAAAGTATCAAGCCAAGGATGGCAACAGTATATCAGCCAGGATCATCAGAAGGCTGTCAATGCCAAAGCCCAGAAGAGGAAAGAAATAGAGGACAAGCTGACAGCCACGTTACCAGTGGATTCGGGGGAAGATGGGAAGGGTAGAGCCGAAAGCGCCGTGCCACGTCCCGCAGCAAGTAGTGTAGGCCTGACCCCCAAAGCAACAGAAGCTGAGAAGGACGAACCAGCACAGGGAGTAGCATCCGCAACTGGGGGGGGGAAACCCCAAGGAAATGAGAACGGGGTAGAAAGAGCAGCTATAGCAGCTGCAAACGAGGGGGAGCACGAAACTGCCCCCACCTACTCCCAAGCAGGCGCAGAACCAAAGGGGGACGAGGGCGAGCTCATTCTTGGAAAGTCAGGTAGTGATCCCAAGTCACCAACAGGCCCATCGGGCACAAGTGGAGGGGGGAGCGAAGTTAGTGGCGTCATCGGGGACGAACTCCCCCCCGTCAACTCAGGGGGAGGCAAGGCTCGTGGGGGGACGCGGGAGTCATCAACCACAACTGATCCTGGGGCCACAAGTGGCGGAGTCGTAGGCGGCGCCATAGGGGGACTAGTGGTAGCTTTATTGGGAGCGGCATCTATATATGGGATATATCGGATAAGGGGGACTAAAAGGAAGCCTCAAAGAAGAGAAACGAGGCTGGAAGCGAATAGAGTCGGGTATGCAGGTTATGCGTATCACTGAAGTAAACGGAACAAGCGAGACAGCATCTACGCTGGTGGGACTTGACACTGAATCCAGAAGGAGTGTTAAGGGAAAGAGGAAACTACGACATCAAAGGAAACAAATAGGACGGGGACCAGGGCAGAAGAACCCAGGGCCTGAGGGGTAACGTCTTAAGGCGTGAGTAGGAGATCCATAGGAGAAACCGGCGGGTTGGCTGATTGTGAGGGGGGTGAGTCTCCTGGAGTAATAGGAGCGTGGGGTGAGGGAGATTATCACAGCCAAGGAAAATTGCGGCCAATATTGATTAGGGGGGTGAGTATCCCTGGATAGCTGAGGGTCAGGCGGTCATATTGGGTCCATCTTCTTGGGGTATGAGAGAGTAGAATCGGGGGGTTAAAAGTGGCGTTAGCGTTTCATGCAGAGCTTCTCTTGTGAAGCTTAATGCCGTATATTCTTTGGCTGTTGAGGGTTGCGCATTTATCAAGCCAATTGTTGAATGCAGGAATTATGGTTATGGGTTCAGGGCTCAGCGTGCAGGTTTAAGGGTTTAGGATTCAGGGTTCCGGATTTAGGGTTTAGGGTTCAGGGTTCAGGGTTCAGGGTTTAGGTTTTAGTCTTAGATTTAGGGTCATGGCTCAGGATTTCTGGTTTTTGTTTTTGGTTTAGTATCAGGGTTCATCCTTTATCCTTTTGTTTTGATTTTTCAAGGGTGAGGATCTCGAGTTCATGGTCTACCTCTCCAGGTTCATTCAATTAGGATTTTATCTCCGAAGCTTGTTGTTTAGGTACCTGGGGTTATGATGTAGAGGTTATTCCCGGTTTTTACCGATCTCACTTCCATACCCTAGGCTCCAATATCTACGGTTTACGTGCCTCAGGGTGTAAGGTTTCAGGGTTGGACGTCTACGCTAATTGTTCATCATTCTCGCTTTTGTTTTTGACGTGTCATCCTCTACTGATTCGCGTTTGTTGTGTAGCTTTTGGTATTTAGAGTTTATGGTTTAACGCCTAGTGGGTCAGGGTTTACTCTCTCTGTTTAGGCGTTTAAAGTTCACGAATCTCTGTGCATCGATTATTTCTCATATACATATGAAGTCTTCTATCACTCCTTCTCTTGATTCTGGTATATAACATTATGATCGAATCAAAAAGTAAAAACTAACCAGCAATACCCTAAGTCAAGGAGTGTGTGAATGTACATATTGATTTATTTCCTCATGAATGGTAAATAATTTAGTGATTTGTTATGGAAATGATATCTAGAGATCTCTACTACCTCAATAACACTTTTAATATTCTAAAAAAATATGAGACAATCAAAGGACAGAACAAGATTCCGAGGATTTCTCCACAGCAATTCAAGAAAGAATCCTGGAGCACTCCTGGCGTCAAGGGTTTACAAATATATATACCTGCTCCTCTAGAAAAGTTCCTTATTATGTACAGGATGTTAGTATACTCGGGCTTCATCACGGCCTGGAGCTGCCTCTGAACGCGACTCCTGTTTTTATTCAATAGGAGCATTCTGTGAACCAGCTTGATCTAGTAAAACACTGTTAGCTTCAATGATCTATTATGTACAAATATAATAATATGTCCGCACCATGGCGGGGCCTAACTGTTTCTTCGTTCCATTTTTCCTCAGGTCCTGCGTTTTAGAAAATGAAATTCTTCCTTTATTATTAATTTGGCGCACCTGATAAAGTATACATAATGGGAAAAAGAATGTGCATCAAGATTATCCTATAAATACAGGAATGTTAGATATTGTTCTCGCTAAATATCATAAAGGCATATGTCCGGCGCAGATAAATGAATAATGCACTGTCCCTCTTATCATTCTCCCCGCCTATAGGGCTCTATACATATTATATATATGTATATATATATGGAACCCCCCCCCCGTCTATCTTCCTCCTTCGAGAGAAATTTACATGCGACAGGGGATTTTTTCAGAAGTCGTTCACCGCATCCCTTCCTGGGCAATCCCTGTGCATTGACGGTGTGGATAGCTACGCCATCCTTTCCTGCTGATATGCGCCACTCATTGAATTAACCGGTTAATGTTTCCACATAACATAAAGGCAAGATGCCTCACGTCAGAAAACTCTTATGCACATCATAATATTAAGTGCTTCGCACAGAACAAATCCATGGGGGCAAGAGAAATGAATCGTCCAAATAAAAATACAACATAATCCTATATGTTTGATGTCTGCCGACCTGCAAAGGAAAGAAAAAAACATATACGGCCTAAATAAGCTCCATTAACAGATAAGTAGGGATTCACCGTAGTAAGTAATCTATCATTGAGGAGGACACAGAAGGAACAAGTGGCCAGTCTTCACCATCTCTTGATACAAGGAAGTGGCAAGGAAAGATTCTGCTGAAGGGACTATATAGTGAGAAGTACATTTAAATACACGATTTGGATAGTAGCACATTGGCAGTGCGGTATCTGACACTCCCCTGCTGAAGGGCTGGGAAGAGGTATCCGAAAATTGTCTGCTCCTTCTCTCTTAATATCCTCTGGAACTCCTTATGCAGAAATAGGATGCCCCCTTTAGTCCAGAGAAGTCCTCTTGCTCCTTGTTTCAACTTAAGTTGAGGACCGGCCTCATAAAGTAGTCACCTGGGGAGTTGTGCACCTGTATGTCGTAATGTTGTTTCCTAATTGATCACAGAATCGTCACGGTTCCAGCCTTTCTTTCTTTACACACATAGGGGACGCTGCCATTTCCCTCCGAAGTCAACTTAACTAATAGGACAGGTGACAGCGACATGCTTCTTATCGTATATAAAATCATCTTTGAGTATATAGCTCAGCTACTTCTCTAATGAAGAGACACAGGCCAAATAACAAAAAAAACAAAGGATATCACGGCAGGATGCCAGGTATCCTGCACACGATATCCTGTTGTGTGGTGTGACGCCTCTAACAATGACTGCAGGGAGAGGTATACGAATGAAATCAGAAATATCTGCAAGAAATTATAATGATGTAACAGATATTTATGCAGCCATATGAGAATCATTCCTGATTACATATGGTTGTATTAATGAATCCAATGTGAGAATGCTTATAATACGTGTCTGCACGCTCATCTCCTTCTTCATCTGTTTTAACACAGAGTAGAAAAAATACAAAAGAAAAGGAAGGGAAGGTCACAGTGATCAATGGCGACAAATGAATTAAAACATTGTTGTTGATATCAGTAAAACAGAGATTAAGAAGGAAGTCACATGTCCCTCCTAATATCAACCTCGAAAGAAAAGATAAGATATATGGAGATTGAACAGCACAGAGCCAAAACGGAAGTGAAAACAAAAACAGCCGTGTGAGACACATAAGAGAGGGCATATAATAATTCCACTGATAACCCGTCATAGAAATCCCTCCTGAATTCTCCTGATCCGCACGTTCAAAGACACCAGAATTGTCCTTTTTAGGAGCTAATAAGATGCCACCAGTCACTTCCCTTTTGGTAGACATAAAACATACTCCTGATCAGCTTCAGGAAAGTCGACACAAAAGAAAAGAAGGAGAAATGTGTCTTCATGACAAGAATAAATTATATAGCCATTTCATCTTCGTATACCAGACTCTGATTCCAGAAGATGTATTCGGGTTAAGTGATAAGGCATCCATATAGCTATATAGGTTTCCTACATTCCGAAGATATCCAGGACACCCACAAGATGGGGGCTCCTTCCTTATAATTCTACATACCACAGCAACAGCTGTATGACGACCATATTAATGTAAAACTAAAAGAAGGGACTTACTCACGTCAAGATATCATGTTACGATACAAGACACTGTGGGAATGTGATGTAGATAGCACGATAAGAAAAAGAAGGGGACTAATTGTTCAAATTACAATGTGGTTATGGGAATCACGATCACACTTTAGCGATAGCCAAGCCTCGCTATCATTACAACATAGCATCCAGGAATCATCAGTTACTGTGTTGGACCAGGCTGCCGAGATCTTGTCTCACCTCTATGTCTCCCCGCCTCATATACAACTTTTAGAACAACGATTACTGATACCGTGGAATGTTTGTCCATATTCGGATACTTTCAGAAGCACATAGAGATATCCTAGGACGCCTAAGACAAGGAGTCCATAAGATACAGAAAGGACAACTGTCAATGGGATGCGTACTAATAACGGTAATACTTCCCGAGTGAATGAAACCAGCATCGGTAAAAGGAGCATCAGACGATATACTTAAATCCCCAGTAGCCACTACTTACTCCCCTTATTATGCGGATGGTGTTTACCCCTTGGTACGGAATTCTATGCCTTATATGCTAAGGACGAGGCGGGACGATGTAGAATTCTTCGATATGTAGGTACTATTTCTGCCGCCGTGATCTTACGTATTGGATCGCACACCCAATTGTTGACTTCTTGGTATTTCTTGAGGATTATAGTACGGATTCCCCCGAATGCTTGCTGATGATTCCGGATTTTGAGTATTGCGATACTTACTAAGATTCTTCTTTTCAGTTGTTGAAGTATCGTATGGATTTTTCGCAATTCCCCTTTCAGTTTCAGGAGATATTTTGCTTGACTTTTTACTTCGGTGCTGAAAGTTTCATTCCTCACTGATAAAGTCTCCTGGACAGCCACACTTAATTCTCTATGATATTCTATGATAATGCTGATTCCGGTAGTTAGAACTCTCCGTTCTATGTATCTAATCTTCTGAAGAATCCGTTGTGGAAGCTCCACATTACGTGTAATCATAACGATTTTTATGTCTTGTATGTCGTATACAGAGGAATTACGGGGCTTCAGATCCCCTGATAATCCTTTTTTTCAGCTTTCACACATTATTGCTTCATTATCTGTGAGGTGCTGTATAGTGTGCGACGGCCTGCACCTATCTAAAATATCCCAAGTATGTGTGAGACATCGTTTCTGAAAATCCTCTAACAAAGACTCTTTACAGGATCTGTCAATATTGCCCTTATTTTTCAGGATATATGTATAATCCCTTCCGAGAGAAGATCCTGAAACATATACTTATTTCAAGTGTTTCTGAACATGTGTCAATAATAGCCTAGTATTCCTGGGGCGCACAATTCCATTAGTGTTATTGGTGATGGTTATATGTTCATGGCCTGATGCCTCCATGGACAAATTATGAGCACGATTATGGTACATCGTGGAAGGCCATGTCTTCATGTCTTATAAGTATGATAAAATTTTTCCTTCCATAATGAGGAGGGAATAACTTCCCTCTATTGATAAGGGAAATCTGATATTTACTATGCCGTTACCGTACGCAAACCATAATAATACCGAGGTTATCCTAGAAATTCCTTCCAAAATTCCGAATTCCATTATTGGATTCTTGCTTTAATTTCTCTCTGGTTGATGTCATGTTTCTCACCACATTATTCTATATGGTATATGCCCATATGCTTATATATAATTCTCCCTCTATATCTATACCAGCATGTTTCGATTTATTCATATATGAATATTTATGAAGATACATGCCTGTCTGTGCATAAGTATAGGGACTTATATATTCATATGGATTCATAATTATCGACATAGAACTGCAGGGGAGCAGAAAGGGAAGAACTCTGGTTTCTCTATTGCCTGTGGCATTTTGAAATACTCAGTTCATTTTGGCGAACAGATTTGCCCTCTGAGCTCTATCTCTATCTTCTGCTTCATCTATATATAGACTGGGGGATATAGGAGTTCATCACCCTTAGGTATGTGACGCGTACCCTATCAAGAGAGAACTGAGGGCTTCTCAGAAACAAGGCGTATCCTCAGCTTCAGATTCTGTTATACTCTTTTGGTTAATGATAATAACAGGGCATAATTTAAGAGTCACTTCTATGTAATATTAATATTATGATATAGAAGACGGCGGAGAATATATTTTTAATAGACGAATGGAGGAGAGAATAATTAAGATTCATGACATGTTGGGATTGCTATTCGGCGGCTGTCCGTAGGAGTCATCCACAATGGCTTTTATCAATCACATTGAGGAT